CGGAGCAGTGAGAGTAGCCACTGTATCCACTTTGGCCATAATAAACGTAAAACCTGTTCAACGGGGTCAGGTCTGAGGATTCGTAGAGACAGCCACAATCCGCGTGGTTCCCGGGCACGGGCAAGGGAGGGAACTGCTGCACGGGAAAGGAAGGCTGATGGAACTCCTGCTTGGGAGTCGGGGATTTCTCTCCGGGTCTTCCGTACTCAGGCTTCATGGAAGCTTGCCCACCCATGAGCAAAGGCAGTCTGTGGCAGAAGCCCTCCGTGCTAGCGTAGGAGCTAGACAGCGACTCGTAGGAGATGGGTTCTGCCGCCCCGTAGAGCCGAGAGGAGTCCCGCTGCTCTCCTTTCCCGAAAGACCCCAGCCAGCCATGCTGCGCTTCCATTTTTAAGCTCGTCGTCTCCTTCTTGGATTTGACGCAATTCCTCCTGCCGGCTCTGGCCCACTTGAGCGTAGGTTTTGAGCAGTGGTTCTCGGACTTGCCCTCTCCATCTGATTTACTCCTCTGCTTCAGGGGCTGGTCTTTCTCATGGGTCAGCTTCAGAAAGGCCACGGCGTTGAGGCTGGCCAGTCTCTTCGGGGTGGGATGGTAGGAGACGGCACCATCCTCCCTCTTCGTCCCGTCATCAAAGACCTCATCCAGTGACTGGTCGCAGCTGTTGCATTTCTGACTGGGCTCGTGCCGGTTTTTCCCTTTACCTGCTTTCACGGCCGTTTTTTCCAGCGTGGGCCAGCTGTCGCCAGCTTTGCAGTGCAAGCTCTTAACGGCGCAGTCCCCGCCGGCTTTAGCGGAGTCCCTCCGGAAGCGCCTGCCCGATAACAAGCCATCGTCCCGCTCGAAAAGCAGGTTGTTGACGGCCTCGGCGTTCAGCGAGGCCAGCCTGCGCTTCCTGGGCTCCGAGGGAGCCAACTCCAGGTCCTGCTCCATCTCCGGACACGTTACCGAGCACTTTTCCCCGGGTGAGTCGCTCTTCCCCGCTCCCACAGGCTGAACTTGTTCGGAGAACAAAGCAGGTCCCAACCCCTCCACCCAGCTGGGAAGGTCCTTTTTTTTACAGCTCTGGGCCTGTTTCGACAGAGATCCAGCCACATCCTCCAGCCTGGTGAGGAGCACCTTGCAGGTCTTTTTGTTGACCGAGGGGAGCAGGCGTCGACGCAGCGGGTACGTCTTTCGCACCTCACGCAAATTCTTGGTTTTGTTCGTCCCCACAAACCCGCTCGGACAGTTCGGAGCCTCGGTGGCATCTCTGCCCCTCTGCTCGCCGCACTCTGCCTCGCTCCTCTCCATCCTCCCGCTGCCCGTGGGCGACGAAGCTTGGCCAGCAGAACCAGCTGGATGTTTCAGGAGGAAAAGTTGTTTCTTCCGGGCATGCGTCATAGGATCAATGTCCAATCCTGAGAACGAACAGAAGAAAACATCTATTAATACCGCGGAGAGGGCCCGTCTCCTCACAAAGCACCAACTGCCAATTAGGAAATATTTGGGGAAGCTTGTTTCTATACACAGTGGAGTCTTTTTGGGTGATGGCCAGTTAAGCCAATTAAGAGACAGGATGCAATGAGATCGGGTGTAATATTAAGCCACAGAACACGGTGGTAATTAAAAGCAAGGCGGTGACGGCAGATGCCACAGCGGCTGGGGAAGCTGCTTCACCCTCTCTCAGCCCGAGGACGTTCCCCGGGACACCGACGCCATTTCCAACTCGTTACAAACTCTCATCGAACCTGCTGAAGCTGATCTGAACGCTGGTCCAGGGCATCCAGCTGACAAATCCCAGGTATTGGGCTGCCCAGGGAGGGGGTTGAGTCGATGGGTGGGTGTTGTGCTGAGGGACGGGGCTGCTTGCACGCTGATGCAGGCAGGCTGCTGTCATTTTCTGAAACAATCAGGCTCAAGGAAAGCAAGAAGTCCACCTACTCATGTGAAAAGTAAACTTGGCCTGTTAAGCCGAGATCAGCCAACATGAATACATTAAATGCATGCAAACCCTCGCGCAGGTTAGAACCCGGCTACTTGCTGCCGCTGTCGTTCCCTACAGCTGCACTTTAAAACACTGCGGACGTTAAATGTTTGTCAGAGAGGCCCTAAAAACACCTTTATTAGAGGAAAAAGAAATACTTATCTGGATGCCACTGCTGACTTTTCACCTAGATGCTGCTGCATCAAGCCACCATTAAAAACAGCACAATTTCTCAAAATACAAAAAGAAAGAGATGAGGATGTGCACCCAGAACGGAGCCACAGCGCTGAGCAAACCAGCACCCCAGGGAAAGCGCGGGCAGCTCCGGCACCTCGGGACCTCCCTGGCCAGGCAGAACATCGCAGAAGCCGTCTGGCTTCCATTTCACACAAGAGGGAACTTTTCCTGCCAAGGACGTGAGGACCACAAGAGGGACACTGAGGTGCTGGAGACGGTACAGAGG